GATTCTTGCGCCGCACGAATCCGGACTCCAATAAACTGAATCCAGTTTGCATTGTGAAGATTATGAATGATGAGGTGAGTATCCAGGTCGCATCGTCCCACGATATATCTTCAGCTAAATGAACTCGGCTTTTATTGAAACGACTCATTTTTAATAGTAATAATACTAATACTAATGCTATAAGATTTAAATAATATTGTTTTAAAATAAAAGTATTATAATTTACAATTTTAACTAAATTTTTATTGATATATCATTGGCAAAATTGAATTGCCATACTAGTACTACAGTACTAAATAAAAAATTATTTGTATATTCAATAACTAACAATAAGTGAAATTCTTTGCAAACAATAAAAGGAGTTGATATCCATTAGATATGTAGTTATTGTATAGAAAGTTAATTAACTTTTTTATTGAGTCAAAAACATGAAAAAGGATGATTTAAAACACATAAAAATAAAAATAGATCAGACTTATTAGTCATTTATATTTAATTTGATTTATGTAAGTTATAGGATAGAAATGATAGTTTATTGCTTAGCAAGCTTAGTTCTTAGTCTAGAATTTATAGATTGTTAGTTCTATCAATAATCAATTTATGATATTATTCAATGTTTTTATAAAAGTTTTTTGAATTACTGACCGATATTACTGTAATAACTAATAGAATAATATTGAATTTGTAGTAAAGTATCAATATAATTGTATCGTATGTATCAATAATTAAAGTAGCAATATTAAATAAATTTATTTAATCAAAAAAGAAATAAATATTAAATTATAGTTTATTAATTTATCTATGAACTAAAAATCAATAATAAAGTAAAATAAGCGTCAGTATGACCACACACTCGCAAACTTGTCTAACCCTAACCTACATCTTAACGTATTAAGATTTATGACCACAATTATTTCAGTTCAACAGTGAATGTGATACACAGACAAACATGTAATTCCTTTGAACAGCAATACGACAAGAATTTGGTTGAACGCATCTTAAGACCTAAATCCAAATATTAGGATCACTACCAATTGGTGAGCACCACAATGTCAACAGCACCAGAACTGGCGCCCAGCAATGTCTACAACCCGAACGTGCCCTCTGCTGAGCCGACCTCCGATGACGCCACTTGGATACTGACCTCAGCCTTCGTCATATTCACAATGCAGACCGGCTTCGGGCTCCTGGAGTCGGGCGCCTGTGCTAAGAAGAATGAGGTGAATATACTGATGAAGAATGTGGCGGATGTAGTGCTCGGAGGTCTCTTCTATTGGGCCATTGGATACGGACTACAGTTTGGTGATGACGAGGGCCATACCGGTTGGTATGGAGCGGGCTATTGGTTCCTGGATTCCGATGACGACCACATGGGCCCCAGTTTTGCAAGTTTTATATTCCAACTGTCCTTTTGCACGACCGCCACAACCANCGAGTTCATTTAGCTGAAGATATATCGTGGGACGATGCGACCTGGATACTCACCTCATCATTCATAATCTTCACAATGCAAACTGGATTCAGTTTATTGGAGTCCGGATTCGTGCGGCGCAAGAATCACGTGTCCATTATATTGAAGAACTGTTGTGACCCTCTATTCTGTGGACTCGCCTTTTGGACCATTGGTTATGGTTTGTCACTGACAACGGACACGGAGTACGACAACCCGTTCATTGGTTTCGGCAACTTCTTGGTGGAGTCAAGTGAGGACAATATGGGACAGTTGTACGCGAGCTACACATACAGATTGTCGTTGGCTTGTGTAGCGGTCACTATAGTGTTGGGGGCAATGGCTGAGAGGATCACATTTGTCGCGTACTGTATATTCTCTTTCTTTATTACAATCATGTTTTCGATCCCAAGTTATTGGGTTTGGTCTCCAAATGGTTTCTTAAGACATATGAATGCTGTCGATATCGCCGGCTGTTCTACTGTCCACTTATTGGGAGGTATGTTAGAGATGTCGATATTATTGTCATTTAATTTTAAATAAATTTTATTTTCAAGGTATGTCGGGTTTGGTGTCGACACTAATACTCAAACCACGTTTGGGTCGCTTTTCAGCCAACTCGGGAGCGTTTGCTATGAGTTCGCCTACTAATGCACTTTTGGGTACTTATATGCTTTGGTCAGTCACTTCATTAATCATAATAAGACGTTTATTAAGACTTTTTAAATGCTTTACATCTTAGGTGGGGTTGGGTTGGCCTACACATGTCGTCAACATTTGGTGTTTCAAATAACAAATGGAAATATGCAGCAAGGTTTTATTTCAAAAACCAAAGGACAACAATCAATTTCTTATACATACAATATATTTGACACTCAGATCGGCGGTGTCCACAATCATCGCCTCATCAACCGGTGGTTTGAATGGTCTTCTGTTGAGCTATATATTTATGAAACGAAAATTTGATATAAAAGTATTTATTTGTGGACTACTCTCTGGTTTGGTATCAGTTTCTGGTGGCTGTACTCTATATCAGCCCTGGGAGGCTGTCATCATTGCCTACATTGGCTCATTATTATCCATTTCAAATATACCTTTACTAAGGCTACTTAAAATTGATGATCCAATCAACACTATATCCATTCATTTGGTGGCATCAATCTGGGGTATCTATCAATTATATTATCGAATTTTTATAGTATCTAGCAAGTTTATAGTATCTAGCAAGTTTATAGTATAAGATATTAGTTTACCAACAATTTATTTATAGTAATTTACGGTATAAGTTACTTAATGAGTAGTATACTATAATTTGTAGTACTGTATTAAGTTAGCTATTTAATTTGAAAAACATTGATGAGGACAGGTATGCTGGTAATGGCACTGATGATCCAAAAAGACACATTACTTCAGATGACTCACAACCAGATGGGACTCATATACGGCGGTTCCGTAGACTTTCTATTAGTACAACTTCTGACAATCGCTGTGATCGGGGTCTGGTCGGCCTTCGCCACCGCACTTGTCTTGTATTCAATCCGAACGGCGATTCCCATCAGACTTACATTGAATGATGAGCTGAGAGGCGCCGACTATATTGAACACAACACCTCACACGAGGCCAATGACGACACACTTTTGCCACAAAATACTTCACTCAAGAGCTCACAATCAGTGGCGAGAATGCGTCTGAAGAAAGTGTTGAACGCATTGAAGGCAACGCATAGATTCAGTTCATATCATCATAAGAATGCATTCCTTAAGAGACAAGTGAAGGAGAATCAGGCGAAGACATTGGCCCTGTCCTGGCCCTCCAGTGCCGCCCAGGGATCCCATAGTATCTACATATAATGTGACACAGAATATTCTTTATGTGCTACTTTCCCATAAAATTTGTTTTGTCTTTTCATTAAAAGTTTAGTAAACTTTTGTCTGTGTAGTCTAAACAACATGCTTAATACAATATATATTCAAATAATAAAATTAAATAATTTATAAAGATATGAATAAACTAATATAACATTCATACAGTACAATGATAACATAAATCATTGCCGATTTTTAATTAAAATTAATTCTGTTTTAGAAAATGTATACTAGATTCATTTGAAAACTTGAGAATATTTAACACACTTAAAGTTAAATAAATTATTTTATATTAAATAATAAAAATATGCAATTAAGGGATTTAATTTGGTATAATCAACATATTATGTTGTATTGATAATATCAATTTGATATACTTTGCCTATTAATTAGTAGTTTATTTACAAGGTTATTTAATAAATGTTAGCATTTAATTCTCAAAATAATCTCTAAGTACTTGTTATAACTGATTAAAAGAAGACTTAACTGCACTAATAACAAAGATAATTATTGTATCATCATTGATAATAAAAGTAAAATGCAGTTGAATCCTTATTTTTAATAGATTTATTGCCACTTTACAAAACAAAGTTTCACAAATAGCAGATAATCTGTTTGCACATCTTTTAGATAAAAATTGAATAAAATTTTATATTATAAATACGAAAGAAAAATATTTAAAATGTTATATTCTATTTATTAAAATAAATTATAAGTGAAATACTTTGTTAATATGAGTGATACAAATAATAATATAAAAGTAGGTGTTATCACTGACTTAAAATGGGAGAGAGGGTCAACACCTGATGATATTAAATCAAAATGTTTTCAATTATGTGTCGATTATTTGGGAGGCGTTTGGTGTGATATATCCATCGATGACATCGAAGTGAGGCGATTGAGCGGTGGTCTCACAAATCAGTTATACTATTGTGCTCTCAATGAAGACCTGAGGAATAGTGATGAGACTGAACCAAAAGAAGTTGCCATCAGATTGTATCAGGATAAACATTTCAATAATTGGGACAATGAGGGCAATGAGAGACTGACGGATGTTATTATAGCACTCATTATGTCTGAGAAGAATTTGGGACCAAAAATATACGGACTCTTCGAAAGCGGACAAATCATGGCTTACTATCAAGTATTTTTTAAATTATATTTATTTATCAAATTTAATAAATTTTACATTTTAAGCACAAATGCTTCCGAAGTGAAGAACAAAAAGATCCAAAACTCGTTCAAAAAGTAGCCCAAAAGTTGGCGAGAATTCACTCAACAGTTATACCCATAAAGAAGAAAACAAATTTTGTTTTCAACTTCTTTGACAACTTTTATGCAGAGGCCTACAAACTGTTTGATATAAAATCATTGATCGATGAATACAATTGTGAGGCATTGAAAGCACACGATTTGAAGGAAGAGTTGGAATGGCTTAAGGAAACTATCATTAAAACTGATTCTCCGGTGACCTTTGCTCACATCGACTACAGAGGATCTAATATTATGGTGACAGAGAGTAATGACATAATGTTGTGTGACTTTGAGTACTCATGCAATGAGTATCGGGGCTGGGATTTCGGTACTCTGTTCACCGAATGGGGCGGAAAAGTGGGGGAATTTAATAGAGATATTCCCGACGATGAGATTATTAGGCCATTCATTGAGTGGTATATCGAGGAATCGGTGAAAATATTTGGAAATAAATTCACAAATGATAAACGAAATTCATTTGTACACATTTCACAAGAAGTGAAAGTGTTTTCTTTGGTCACAAATATGTTTTATCTTTTATATGCACTCAAAATGGATAAACACCCGGTTAATGGATATCCATTTAACAAAAAGGAAGCAATGGTTTGTTAATGAAATTTATTATATGATAAATGAAGTAATAAATGAATTGTTTACAGATTGGCGCAGATATGATGTATAAACAGTACTTTCAAAGGAAGCACAAGTTTATTGAAGACAAAGTGATTAATTAATTAAAAATATATCTTACACCTAATGCTAAGTTTAAAATATATGAATATCTATTACATATTATTTTTAAATTCTATATCTAATATTCGCAATCAAAATATTACAAAAATAGTTATTCTAGATTTATTTTATACTGATATTTTATTTTGTAAATAATATTTAATATTTTATTATCAAATTGTAACCATTAAACATGCAGATATGTTAATTAAAATTTTAATCTGTTCAAATAAAAGTTTAACTAGATTAAAAGACTGAAACTATAGCACAAAACACTTAAATTTATATTGAATATTTTTATAAAATTAACTGGATGTTTTATCGGTAACATGTCTCATAATTATTTTGTTGTGCCACAAAAAATAGACAAAATAATCTTTCTTGAATTAAAATTATATAAATAATAAGAAAATGTAACGAATCCACTTAATTAAAGTGACTTGAATGTTTATTCAATGTTTATATATTTATTCATGTATAATAACATATACCTTACAGTTTAATCTACAATGTACATTGTACTAATGTCTAATGTTAGTATCTGTTAATTTCAAAAATCTTTATGAATTTGTATATTATATTATTAGTTAAAACTGGTTACAAATCTGATTACAAATGACCAGATTGTACTAGTAACATTGTACATAATATAGTTATTGTATAAGAATTTATAGTAACGTTAGAAATAACACTTAAATCTTTTTAGTTATCACTCTACAATTTAATTACCACTTAAAATTAAGTATTGAAAAAATATAACTTATGCACTAATAATCAAATATACAGTTACACTACTTTAAAGGGTGCAGTATTATTGTACGAATATAAATACAGAGGGAAAATGTTTAATTTTCATTCTTAACAAAATTGGTTATTAAAAATATCTAGATTAAAATGAATGACAAAAATAATAATATTAAAATTAGTGATATATCTCAAATGAAATGGGAGAGAGGGTCAACACCTGATGATATTAAATCAAAATGTTTTCAATTATGTGTCGATTATTTGGGAGGCGTTTGGAGTCATATATCCATCGATGATATCCAAGTGAAGCGACTGAGCGGTGGTCTCACGAATCAGTTATATTATTGTGCTCTCAATGACGACCTGAGGAATAGTGAAGAGAATGAACCAAAAGAGGTTGCCATCAGATTGTATCACAAAATTGGTTATTAAAAATATCTAGATTAAAATGAATGACAAAAATAATAATATTAAAATTAGTGATATATCTCAAATGAAATGGGAGAGAGGGTCAACACCTGATGATATTAAATCAAAATGTT